ATGCAGGGTCACTACCAATAAAAGGCAGTAAAAGTCTAACAGCTTTAATAAATAACGACCTGGCAAGCGTACTGCAACTGTTTCAATTTAAGAGAAAGTGGGGAGAGGCAGTGTTCCTCAGTGAAGAGTTATCTGTGCCTCTTGCCAGGAGAGGGTGGTATAGACTGAAACAAGTGCTGGGTCTATGGCTTCTATATTTATTTAATAAAATTTCAAATATTCAAATGCTGCAAATTTTAAATAAAGGTTCAATAGAGTCAGCTTACTTAGTTCTGAAATGTTTAGCAGTCATATATGAAAAAAGGATTAAAGTAAAATACTCCATACACACACACAGCACACCTATGCAAGAGATGATGCATGGAGAGAAAAACATGTTCATTTATTTTATTATTTTTAAAGATTTATTTATGCATACAGAACTGGGGTACAAGCCAGAGGTGCAGGGGTGGTGAGAGGATTCACCAGAGACGGAGTGGGAGCAGAACAGGCTGACTGACAAGTGCACTGCTGAAGGGAGCACCAGGAGGGTCAGGAGAAGTCTGCCACGCCATGTGGTCACCTCCCGAGGCGGGGATTGAACTCATACTGAAGGGTCTTTTGCTTCTTAGTGCTGTGCTTTAACCCTCTGCGCCACCAGGGAGGGCCTTCATTTTTAAATTTACACCATAGTATCAGTGGAATGAGAAACACAATTAAGTTGTATTGTATTGTATTATAATACTATGAATTACGAATATTGGCAAACCTGAGAGTCAGTTTTCTTTCTTGAGAATTTCAGTCATTTTTATTATAATAAAAATCTATAATAATTTTTTCTACTTTCCCATTTTTAGGGGTACAATCCAGCAATACTAAGTACATTCACATTATTGTGAAAACATCACCCACCAACCTCCTTGTGAACTGTTTTTATCCTCCCAACCTGAAATTCTGTGCACATAAACAGTAACTGCCCTTCTTTTCTATGTCCTGGCCCTGGAAACCATCTTCCTATTTTTTTTGTCTCTCTCTGTTTAACTGCTAGTAGGTAATTCATGTTTGTGAAATCACAATATTTCTCCTTTTTGACTGATTTGTTTCATTTAGCATAATGTCCTCAAGTTTCATTCATGTTGTAGCAAATTTCTTTCCTTTTTAAGATTAACATTCTACTATATATGTATAATATTATAATAGGTGACATATTTATTGTGTAATATATGCACATATGTATAATGTTCATGCACATATATGTATGAATAATGGTCCATTATATGTGTTAATACAGTATTACGTATGTATACAACACCTGTATATGTACCCATATGTCTATACATGTATATGGATATACCTATATACCAGACTTGGAATCGCCATCCAACATTGGGGTTGTTTTCACTTTTGATCTATCTATTTACGTTCTTTTCCCATCTTTTTCTCTTAGTCATTAATGTGGAGTTGTAGGTCTTTGTTAATGTTCAGGGTGCAAATCAATCCCTTGTCATTTAAATGAGTTACAAATATTTTCTCCCATTCTGTTTGTTGCATTATTCACTATGGTAACTTGATACTCAAAAGTTTAAAATCTGTTGAAATCCACATGACCTTTTTGTTGTTGTTCTCTGTGCTTCCGGTGTCATAGCCCAAAATAATCACTGTCAAGTACAACACTGTGAACTACTCGGAAATGCCTTAATTCAGTTCCAAACTCCTCCCCACACAGGCTCAAGGTCCGCCTTCACTCTCTCTTCCCAGAATGTTCTTTTTTAGCCTTTCCTCCTGGGTCAACTGCTGTGTGATGAGACTTTCTGAGACTTTTTGTTTCCTTGTATCCATCAACTTTCCCCAAAACCTTCTGCATCCTTAAATCCTCCTGGCAGATTTCTCACACCAAACAGCAACATTTTGAGGTGAGTCTCTCTGGCTTATTATAATTTGACTAAATGGATTTGCTGATCTCTCACCATTTGTTTCCCTCCCTCCCCCTGCCCCCATGCCCCCAGTTAGCTGTGTTTTAAAAATCTATCACTACCTAGAGTTTTTAATTTAGTTGTTGCTTATGGGACATGGACTTCGCTAAGAGACTGTTACAACTTCCGAGGGAGTTCTAATGTATATGTTTAGGTTTGAAAATCGATGCAGCAATATCAACTTATATATGTTCTTCTCACCTGGCTTATTTTTAAAGTGGCCAGAATTTGTCTTGACTCTGATGGTGTACCATTCCAATCACAGGATCCTAAACCCTGATTCAATCTGAAAAATTCCACCCTTGAGATAGCAGGCACTAAATGTGCCTCAGAGCATTTCAACAAAGTTGTTCGTAAATTTAGAAATTCGTCTAGGACTGGTAACTGCCAAAGAAAATTTAGAAAAAGAAATTGGAAAGGCCCTGACTGGTAAAGAATCCAGGATGATTGCATAACATTTACCAAGATTTCTTGATGAGTTGTTGATTCTGGAGAGGCTAACAAAATTATCTTGCTGGCTAATTAACCCTATGCTTCACACTCTGGAGTCCCATTTTGTCCTCTAGCTTTGGTTACTGAAGTTTGGGTCTGGCTTTCTAAGTCCTGTAGTCTGTGACAATCGTTTTACAGATGAAGAAACCGAGGTTAAGAAGAACTGTCATTTAATAAAAGCCCCACAGCTAAGTAGAGTAAGAGAGAGGTGGGAAACAAGTAACCTTCTGAAAGCCAGTGTTTCTCCAGACACATCTACTCTCACCTACTGCAAGTCTGCTTTGAAAAGTCCTCTGATAACTACAAATGTACACAGTGACAGTTTGGTGAATGCCCCAAAGAAATTGAATTTTCTGAATGCTAGTGGTAAGTAATTAGTGATTCATTATTAAGTGATTTGTTTATTAGGTTAGTTTATTAATGATTAGCTCTGGCTCTGGCACATGGTAAGAGTATGTAAAAAACAATCTGTTATTATTATTATTATTATTATTTAAAGATTTATTTATTCATACGGAACTGGCATACGGGCCAGAGATGCGGAGGGTGAGAAGATTCACCAGGGACAGAGTGGGGAGCAGAACAGGCAGATCAACGAAGTACACTGCTGAGGGGAGCAGCGGGCAGGTCAGAGGAGAGGTCTGCCACACCATGTGGTCACCTCCGGGACAGGCGGGGATCGAACTCATGCGGAATTGGCTTAAGCTTCTTAGTGCAGTGCTTTAACCCGCTGCGGCCACCAGGGAGGGCCCAACAATCTGTTATTATTAATGGGAACGGTCTTATAAAGTCAGTATAATGAAAAGCAGAAACACAATGACTTCCTCACTATTTTCTTTCTGAACACAGTGAAAAATGTTTTGTGAATTGTAGTTGCAAAGTTAGAGACTCAGTTTTTCTTTATAGTTTTAAAGAGTATTTGGTTTCCTTTTTTTCTTACACTATCTTACTTTATTACTGAGGTAAGCAATTTTTTTTTTTAAAGATTTATTTATTTGTGCATACAGAACTGGGGTACAGGCCAGAGGCTCGGGGGCGGTGAGAGGCTTCACCAGAGACAGAGTGGGGAACAGAACAGACAGATCTACGAAGTACACTGCTGAGGGGAGCAGCGGGCGGGTCAGGAGAGGTCTGCCACGCCATGTGGTCACCTCCGGGGCAGGCGGGAATCGAACTCATGCAGAAGCGGCTTTTGATTCTCAGTGCTGTGCTTTAACCCGCTGCGCCACCAGGGATGGCCAATTTTTAAGGAATGTATTGGTTATTCAAAATTTCTCCTTCAGCAAATTATCTTTTACTCTTTTGAACTGCTGTCTCATAAAAGCTTTGCAGGTTAATAAAAAAAAAAACTTCCCCTCTTCTCCTGCATATTGCAAATACTTTTTTTCTGGCATGCCTTATAATTTTCTAGCATTTTCTTTTCATATCTAAGTTTTTGTTTTGTTTTGTTTGGGATGAAGGGCTGTTTTTTCTCCCATAAAATTGCTTTCTCACTTTTAGCTCCAAATTTCATTTTATAGAAATCAGTGCCAACCAACATGGTGTAGAGAGCCGCATTGTGTCTGTGAACTTGGAAAGGTGAAATAATCAGACAAGAGAGGTGACAAAAGGGCTTGTTTACATACTCAAAGTAGTTAGAGCTATTTATACTGAGGACAAGCTTGAAGGCAAACACACCCACTTCTAATTCTTAGTACCAGAATATAAGGAGAGTGTTTTTTACCACATTATCACTTTCTTCTGAACTGAATGGAAGATACATTCATTGCTCTTTGCCAGAATCCATTTTTCTTTTAAGTCTAGAAGAAATCTTGATCTAGTTAAAAATCAAAGAGAACTGGACATTTACACTGGTCAGTGAGTATACTGTCCACCAGTGTTATTTTTAACATTTTATAATTTGAGTAATGTGGACAACTGTGTTTTCTTTGAAGGCAAGCAAATTTGTGTGTCTTTCATAGTTAGCATATGACCTGTCTAATATCTAACAAAAATGGTTACATATGTGTGAAAACTTTTTGGTGGGTGGATGAATTGCAAATAAAACAAAGCAATTCTAGTTCATTTAAACAGGAAGGAACTTCAATCCAGGTGAAGAGCTCATGGAAGTACCAACAGCGATGAAGATCATCTGGCCCCATCATAGAATTGAAGCATGGGGGTGGGGGAGCACAAAGTGGGGGGAAAACACATGGACTGTGGTGGTGGACTAGGGTGCTTGGGGGTAGGTGTGCTATGGTGACTGCACTTGGCTGAGGGAGGGAGAGGGTGCACTTCGTGAAATCTAAACGGGCAATACTGTCAACTATGTAAACCAATGGTGCTTCAACTAGCTACAAATTGTACTTTTCTTCTTAATGTCTGAAGGGAGAAAGATTACTTAGTCTATGCTTAGAATGGCAAAAAATAAGGCTTACATTTTTCTGTTTTAGGTGTTTCATTCCTGAAAATGATATTTGACATGGCAGTCAACCCTGGAGAAGTGACTGTATCTCTCATAATTTTGTTGATGATTTTTGTGTTTGTAAGAACCCTTGGAAGTAAAGGTAGGAGGCAGGTGTCTCCTCCTGGCCCACGATCCTTCCCCATCATAGGAAATCTTCTGCAGCTTGGAGACCATCCTTATCTTACATTCATGGAGATGAGGAAGAAATACGGAGATGTCTTTCTTGTCAAACTTGGCATGGTGCCTGTAGTGGTGGTGAATGGGATGGATATGGTAAAGCACGTATTACTCAAGGATGGGGAGCATTTTGCAGGCAGACCTAACATGCATACATTCTCCTTCCTGGCAGAAGGAAAAAGTTTTTCATTTTCAGTCAATTATGGAGAGAGTTGGAAGCTTCATAAGAAAATTGCCTCTAATGCTTTACGGACATTTTCTAAAGCGGAGGCAAAAGCCTCTACTTGCTCTTGCTTACTTGAAGAACATGTCGTCTCTGAAGTTTCTGAGCTGGTAAAAGTCCTCACAGAGTTGACTTCTAAGAACAGTAGCTTAGACCCCAGAAGTGCTATCACATGTGCAGTGGCCAATGTTGTCTGTGCCCTTTGCTTTGGCAAGAGATATGAGCATGACGACGAGGAGTTCCTCAGAATAATTAAAACCAATGATGACTTACTCAAGGCCTCCAGTGTGGCTAATCCTGCTGATTTCATCCCATGTTTCCGTTACCTCCCACTAAAAATTATAAATGGTCCCCGGGAGTTTTATCAGGCCTTGAATCAATTTATTGCACTACATGTACAAGATCATCTTACTACATACGATAAGGTAAGGATTTAAATTCATTTCACAAGATCATCTTACTACATATGATAAGGTAAGGATTTAAATTCATTTGAGTAAAGGGTAATGATAAAATGCACTGAGAATCCAGGACATTGTATATATTCTTCCTAATGTGCCTTATCCAAACTATTATTAAATGCAAAGTCTAGCCAGTGAGATTAGAGTGTAATATGATTTTCATAGCGATACCCTAAGAGAAGAGGGGTATCTCTGCTCTTCTCATCTCTTGATGAGTCAGAAATTTCCTTCGTGTGTAGAAATTTCCTTATGTGAGAATGAGGAATTTGTAATCAGCTGATAGATGATGACCAATATGTAGGTGAGTTCCTTGAAGAAACGACTGGATGATTTTGTCTCTTCCATTTTAAATCTGAAACTACTTTCTCAGATTGAAAAATATCAACTTTTTTTTTTTTTTTTCAGAAAATGCGTTCAATGATTTTAGAGACTACTCTATAGGCTGTTTTGAATTTATCCTCATAACCTACTTAAGTTCCATTATAATACAGAATTGAAGTTTGAGATAATAGCACAGAACCTTAGAAAGGTTTGATACATCTGAATCCATTGAGAGATTCTGACACAATTTGATGTTCCACAGAGAGTAAGTTTCTTTCTTGAAATTTGTTACTAGAATGAATCCTGGCTCTTGGCTGCCAGTTTGCTAAGAGGAAAACAGGAAAAAAAAATGTAAAAAAATTGGTAATTGAGCACATGAAACTGTGTGTGGATTTAAGCCACTCTAATGAAAGGAAAGGGCAGAAAGCAATCTGCTTCAAGGTACCAGATGGGCTAAGTAGAACCAGTAGTGTAAGTGAAAGAATTTGTAAGATTTTTCATCTTGTCTTCCCATTTCCTCAGTATCCAAGAAAACCTTTACAGTTGCTTTGGAAACTCTATTATATCCATGACCTAACAATTTCTCCCTAATTTAGCCTCTGTTTTTTAAAAAATGTGCTTCCAGACATAGGTATTGCTTTTTATTGATTAAAAAAAAAACTGTAAGAAGAAAGCTAAATTTGATGGCTTAATTTTCTATTTTACTCTCATAAGGAATGAAGTAGCTTAAGGAATTGACAAACTAAATTGGTTAATAAATGATCAACTTATATTTTTTATATTCCTAAGCTAGTTGGCTTCATTTCAAATTGCACTGTGTGTGTCTTCTTGCTGATTTTCCTATGTGATGTGAAATTTAGAACATACAAGTTATCATGCTTAAGGTTCACTTTCCAGGACCACATCCGAGACATTACTGATGCTCTAATTAATGTATGCCACAACAAACACGCTGCTATCAAAACAGCCACCTTAAATGATGATGAAGTCATAAGCACCATGAATGACATCTTTGGAGCTGGTATGTGAGAGCATTTGTCAAATAAAAATTAATTTGTAATTTATATTGTTTTCAATTCAGGGCCCTTCTTTTTTTCAACACTGGCCATTTTATGTAGATCAATTCACTCTGTATAAATAACTTGATATTCTACCTTTTCCCATATCATTTTAAAAAACTTGGTTTTCATCTGGGTAGAGATTAAGTTAATCAGAGTCCCTAGCTCATGTGCATTAAATATCATTACTCATGCAATCCATGGTCTTGTTCACTTATTTATTATTTTTATCCCCACACATCCATTTCTTTTCCCAGTTCATTGAATTTTATTCTTAATCTATTTGAAGTGTTTTTTGTTTTATGCTTTCATATAAAATAGGTTTATGTTGTCATGCAGTTTATATTACTACAAGCTTGATGTAAATTCCATTAATTTCTTATTTCTGCTTCTAAAGGTTGAATTACAGTACACATACCCATATTTTACCCTGTTATATATCAATATATCAGTTTTACCTCTTTTGGAAAGAAGAAGAAGAATTAGAAAGAAGAATTTCTCTGTCACCTAATGAAAGGATTCTTGAATTTTATTTATAAATTATCAACTAACTAGTAATATGTAACAAAATACTCTGTTAGGATAAACTAGTGAGCTCTATTCCATTTATTTTAGTGGATACAACTTACCATGACACTATTCATCAAATCTACCTTATTATTAATATTGCTATTTTCTTATTTGAGTTTTTTAATTTATCATTGAGATAATTTGGATTCCCCTTTCAATGTAGTCAGGTTTTCCCAGAATCATTTATTATAAATTCAATTTTTATGTACTCTTCCAAGAGTAAAGTAGTTATGTACTTAAGTATTGGTAAATAATTAAAGTAGTAAACCTATTATTTACACAGGCAGTCTCAGCAATTGGCTATAAGGTCCATGATTCTACAGTGTGCAAAATTAGTGTTTTTCATGCAATATTCATAATTTGTTCTTTCTTTTGCTCCATCTTGAACATTCTGCATCAAAGTCCAGTTATTTCTATTGTCTCTCTGATTTTTAACAACACTAAATATTTCACAAGTATAATCATAAAGTATTTGTCCATTTGTACATAGTTTATTTCATATAACATAATGTTCATTTATATTGTAGCAAGTGTCAGACTCACTTTTAAAGGTTATATAAAATTCCACTGGATGTGGGCCCTCGCTGGTGGTGCAGCGGGTTAAAGCACTGCACTAAGAAGCTTAAGCCACTTCCGCATGAGTTTGATTCCCGCCTGCCCAGGAGGTGACCACATGGCGTGGCAGACCTCTCCTGACCCGCCCGCTGCTCCCCTCAGCAGTGCACTTGTCAGTCACCCTGTTCTGCTCCCCACTCGATCTCTGGTGAATCCTCTCACCCTCTGCATCTCTGGCCTGTACCCCAGTTCTGTACAAGTAAATAAATCTTTAAAAAAAAAATTCCACTGGATGTAGAGAACACATTTTATTTATCAATTCAAAATATTAATAATATTTGGGTTGTTGGCTATTGTGACTAATGTACAAGTGTATACAACTATCTCTTAGAGACCCTGCCCTTAATACTTTGGATGTATACCCAGAAATAGGGTAATGTATCAAATAGCTTTCATAATAAGTGGGAGAATTTGCCTATATTTTGAAATACATTCTAGTATATAATGATGTTTTTATTGTAATTTTATTTATGTATGATTACATTTATATCCATTCCACTAATTATTAGTATTCAAATAGGAAGTAATTGACAATTTAGATTTTCTAATTTTTTTCCAGTGACAATTTATCTCATTCTTTTTCAGGATTTGAAACAGTATCAACATGTCTATATTGGAGTTTTCTTTATTTGATATACTATCCAGAAATCCAAGCCAAAATTCAAGAAGAAATTGGTAATCGTTTCAGATAAAAAAGATAATTACTATAATTATTATTTTTGAAACCAAATATAAAAAAAAAACCCTTTTTTTTTAAAGATGGAAATATTGGGCAGAAACCACCCCGATTTGAAGACAGAAAAATATTACCCTACACAGAAGCTTTCATAAATGAAGTATGCAGGCATTCCTCCTTTATTCCTTTTACTATTCCACATTGGTAAGTATATGGTTTTTCTTTAGCAGCAACCAATGGTGGAATAGAAGAGAAGTAAGGAATTTTAAACATTAAAATACTTTAGTTAAATGCCATATTATGTTAGTTATTTTTAAAAATTTATTTATTTATGCAAAACGAACTGTGGTACAGGCCAGGATTTGCTAGAGACAGAATGGGGAGCAGAACTGGAAAATCCACTGAAATACACTACTGAGGGGAGCAGAGGGCGAGATAGAAGAAATCTGCTGAAGCATGTGGGTCACCTCCCTCGTCAGGAATGGAAGTCTGTGCTACAGTGGCTGCCAATATCTTCATAGTGCTGTGCTTTAACCCCTTGCACCACCAGGAAGGCCCCTAATTATTATTTTAATTTTACTCTTCTTCTTTTTTTTTTTTTTTTAAAGATTTATTTATTTGTGCATACAGAACTGGGGTACAGGCCAGAGGCTCAGGGGTGGTGAGAGGCTTCACCAGAGACAGAGCGGGGAACAGAGCAGGCAGATGGACAAAGTACACTGCTGAGGGGAGCAGTGGGCGGGTCAGGAGAGGTCTGCCACGCCATGTGGTCACCTCCGGGGCAGGCAGGGATCGAACTCATACGGAAGCGGCTTTAGATTCTCAGTGCTGTGCTTTAACCCGCTGCGCCACCAGGGAGGGCCTACTCTTCTTATTTTAATTTGAAATTCTCTAACAAAAATTTTACATAGATCTAAGACATTTTGTGACTATTTTTTATAACTAAGCAATAATGGCATTAATTTTCATCTATGTGTACTAATTAAATAGAGATAAACTTCAAATAATGGAAGATTCAATCATAACAAAATGTCATACCAGCTCTAAAGTGCCTGTGAACAGTCCTATCTATTGACGTGACCTCATTTTCAGTAACTTGGAATTTTGCTAGACAATAGACTTAGGAAATTGGTGTTAAAAGTAGCCCTTTGTAGATATTAGAAGGTTTATTGAATCTTTTACCAGACTGACAAATGTATGCCAGTATAGATTAAGAAGATAGACTTTATTAAATATAAATGTGGGAAACCAAAGTTCCAGTAACTCTAGTGCTTTCCATTTCACACAGTTAAAATAAAAACTGAAATTCTCGTAGTTTTTTCTCTTCCCATCTTTAAAGTGAAAGAGTGAGGATGTCTCTCATCTGGGAAGCTGAGATAGACAGGGGGCAACTGGCACAGCAATATGTGGTCTCCTTAGCGGAGGGCTTAACGGCCAGGACCCCTAAGTGAGCAAGTTCAAGCTAACCCATGGAGCAACACAGCTCCATGTACTTTGCCTCATTAATTTGCTCCCCATATGAACATATGATTTAGAGGGACCCATTTCTTTAGATCTTCTTTCTGGTTGAAGCAAATTTCAACTTGAAATTTTTAAAGAGAGGTCTTACATTTAAAAAAAGAGCTCTTTTGTCCTGTGACTTTCACAAAGTGATTTTCAGGGGCTTCATAAAAGAAAGGTTTATGCTTTTACTAAGTAGTAGAAATGAGAGACCCTGCCAAGATGAATGAGATTAATCACCTATTTGGGGATTGTGAGAACATATCTGAGGGTCTAATTGATAGCGAGAAATATATTTTTGGAATAGGTGTTCATGATATCATTAAAAGTAAAAAATACGTTAATTAACAAAATTAAAAAAGCAAGTAAATTGGACAATGAAAGTAGTATGGCACAAAGCAAGAATATTTGCACAAGCACAAAAGATTGCTATTTGGAACTATTATTTCTTCCACACCTGGAAGTTTAATGCCTTCCATTCAAAATAACAAAAATATATATTTTTTAAAGATTTATTTATTTGTGCATACAGAACTGGGGTACAGGCCAGAAGCTCAGGGGTGGCAAGAGGCTTCACCAGAGACAGAGTGGGAAGCAGAACAGGCAGATAGATGAAGTACACTGCTGAGAGGAGCAGCGGGCGGGTTAGGAGAGGTCTGCCATGCCATGTGGTCACCTCCTGGGCAGGCGGGAATCGAACTCATGCTGAAGTGGCTTTAGCTTCTTAGTGTTGTGCTTTAACCCGCTGCACCACCAGGGAGGGCCACAAAAATATTTTTTAAAAAAGTTAAAATGAATTTAGTAAAATTAGCTAAATGGAATAATCTTATGTAAAGGGGCAAAATTTTACATATAACATTTATGTATACAGATACATACACACACAAGATCAAACAGTGCCCTGATCAATTTTTATTGCATGTACATTTCTTAAAAGCTATATAGAAATAACTTTCATAAATCAAGTTTCAGGAATATATTTTAGAGAAATCCTATAATTAATGTATCTATATATTAGATCTTTCTTTAGAATAAACACTTCTAAGAGTAGATTAGTGGGAAAAATGTTACATGTTAGGTCTCAACAACATAGGAGCATTTAGTTTTTTATATATAGTAAAATTTGAACATTTGAATCCATAAAGACAACTCAAAACAGGAATTTCTTGAAATATGCAAGTGTTTATGCTTAGGAAGAGGGAATCCTTCCAGAAACTAGATAGATTTCCTGTTAACCCTTTCCTTTTGTTGGGCTTTTCGGGCACTCAGTGAAAGATACTCACATTATTTACCAAAGTTCAGCTGCAAGATGAACACAGTTGAGTCAGTCAATAGATGTTAAAATATTAGAGTCTTTGAATGACCAGAGCTAGTTACATAATTTGGCTTGGTGCCACACTAAGTAACACGACTCTTATTTTACACTTGACTTGGATGCACCTAGTCTGGCAAGACTATAAAAACCTCTCGTTAACTCAGTGTCTTATTGATGTAGATGCCACAAACCTTCTCTATAAGCTGGCTAATCAGAAGAGGGAACCCAGAAACAGCTAAGCCAGTTGTGTCCAGTCTTTTCTCAAATTCATCACACGGAAATGTCACTGCTTTTTCTCTGGAAAGGAGTGTCTGGGCTAGCTAGTAAATTAGGGAATACTAAATGGAGAGATAATTTGATTTAATCTAATATATATAAATTTACAGAGGGATAAATGTGAAGGGTATGCAGTATTTATAAAGATTGCTTATGAAAATATAAAAATTTGTTTATTCTTGAAGCAACTAGAGATATTCTAACACAACATCATTTAGTTAGGAAAGAAATCTAGAATAGGTAAGAGATTTGCCCAACGTCTCACTGTTAGCTGAATCTATAAAGTTCAAGGTTCCTACTTCATTCCATGTTTCCATCTACCAAGGATTAGAAAATGCTTGCTTTCATTTTTTTTTTATTGAAGTAACATTGCTTTATAACATTATATAAGTTTCAGGTGGGTATCACTGAAAATCAACAGATGTAGATTTTTTCCCCTAAATTATTAGTATAGGTTGAAACCACATTAGGTACAAAGCAAGTGCTTTATTATTCTCTTAATAATAGTTTCTGGTGTATTGTGATTTATCTATTTATTGCCAACTCTATGTTGGAAATATTGACATACTTCCTACTGAGATATTAGCTTATAGAAACACCTTGAGTTTATTAATCATACAAAATGTTTACCAAATACAAATAATAAATCTCTAATAGGATAATAGATGTAGGGTAGGATATTTTAATTAATGAAAGAATAAGGATTTACAAATGTTACAGTCATTAATTAAGTCACTAAGAAATGGCATTAATAAAAATAGTGAATTGTGGGAGGCAGGTTCGAGGTGAGAGCTTAACTTTGCAGGATGTTCAGTAACGCTGTATCTTGCTTTCCCAGCACTACAGCAGACACAACTCTGAACGGCTATTTCATTCCCAAGAAGACTTGCACCTTTATTAACATGTATCAAGTAAATCATGATGAGTAAGTGTCACTGTGTGGGGCAACAGCATTGGGAGCTGTGTGGGATGAAGGAAAGGTTGCTCAAAGTCCAAGCAGTGTGAGCCCCACAGGGGCTACCCCAGGAAGGTACAACCCCGATGCAGGTACAGTCTCATATTTATTTAGAACCAGGTTCAGAGAAGATGGGCAAGTAATCAAATCATACTCTCTCTAGTCCCTCCTTACCTAACTTTCCTCAAATTTGTTAAGGTAAGGCATTCTAGCTGACCTTGCTAATCCAGCCATAGTGTCTGGCAGTTGTTGGCAGCAGATACTGGTTTCCTAGTGTGTTCCTCACTAGGACTCTTCCCTGGTGAGAGGCTCCTGCCAGGCTGAACACTTAGCTTGACCAGCAGGAATTCTGGGTACCAGGACAATAGCCCCAATAACTATGAAGTCTAGGAGTTCCACAATACGTTGTGGATAAAATTAGTTTATTATTTATTAATATATTATATTCTTCTTAACCAAATTATATTCTTCTTAACCAAATTTCACTCATTCTGTTTCTCCTTAAGAAGTTGGAAAGAACTCACTTTTTCTCCTCACTGGTAGTGGGAAGAATGGTAGCTAATAATACAAATCCAATTTCAAAAGCAGATTCACCCAGTGAAGAGTGAGACCAGGACTTCATGGCCTCACCCTCTGCATGGGTGTGGCCAGTTTATAGTGCCTGGAACATAGAATTTCACCCTATATGGAAGGGCAGGCTGAGGTGAAGTTACCTTGTGCAGTGAAAGTGACCATGATGATGATGATGATGGTAGTGGGAGTATTGATTCCCGCTACTATTTTGAGACACCCTGTTAAGTGCCAACCAAAAAGCTTGATATATCTCTCCTAAACCTCAATAATAATCATATTTATTGATGTTACCATGCTCTCAATTCTATGGGTTAAGAAACTTTCAGCCAGAATAAATAAATTGCTCGAGATCATTTGTTCAGCAGATAATAGAAACAAGATTAACATCCTATTGTGTAAATTCTGTTTAATGGCAATCAGGGGCTCATATTGTCAGATTTGACTAATCTGGGTGAACCTGCCTTCATGAGCACTCAGTGTGCTATAAGCTTCCTACTTCACCTGAGATCTCATCTGTATAGTGTTCATGCTTCAGGCTGTTAAGGAGGGAGGGATTGTTCTGTGTACATAACAGTACTTTCGCAATCTCTGTAACCAGCACACTGTGGAATACGCTATTGTCAGTCCTGCTACAAAGCTTATTAGAGAAATTGACACCTGCATTCTCCATATCTGTGATCTAATCAAATAAAATTAAGCATTTTCAAGCTGTTTTAGAGGAAATATTGTGAATTTCATGACATTTATTTCCAGTTAATATAGCCCCTAGTCTTTTAAATTCTTTAGTATCCTAAGAACTCGTAATTATATTTAATACTGAGTACTATTCAAACAGGATGAGATAACACAGGTGCTACTAAAGACATGCTCTTTGTATGGAGACACTCGCTTAAACTATGTACCTACACACTTGGTAGTATGAGGAAATTATTCAAATTTAATTGAAACCAGAGGTCACAAACTTAAGTATCTACTGAGCAGTAGTAATCCCCTTGCCAGAGCAGCAGGGAGAGGTGACCTTCTCTGTCTCAGTAACCCAAGCAAACTATCGACAAGCAGAACTCCATCCCAATGTTAGTCCTTTCACTTCTAAAATAGAACTTGGAAATGAAGATGGCCATATGGAGTCTTCTGATTTTATGTTAGCAACAGTGATCATTTTTAAAGGATTATGAAAGCAAAATAAATTTATAGAGAACTGAGATGACTTGTAACTCTGGTGCAGAGAGAAACACATTTTTTTTTCCTAGAAAGAGGATTGCATCTCCACACAGAGACCCCATTGCATGTGGGTCCCCAATATGTGGCTGGGGGGTGTCAGGAAGCATGCTTGTGTTAGTTCTCAGAGAAAAGCCAAATATGGTTCCTGTAACAAAATCTGGAAGAAGACAGAATTAGCCAGCACTTTGGGAACTGTGGGGACCCCTCCTATATGGCTCTTCTCTGTATGTTGTAAGAAGGCTTTTCCCTAGTTGTTTTTGAAAGGTGTTGCTTAAACAGCATCATCATTTCCAGTCATTTTGTTTAAAGCAAAGAAGAGTGGATAGTTATTAATTTTCCTTTATGCCATAAGTTTGGAATATTCTTACGAGAAGTTGGTGGAATGCTTCATTAAAATGATTAAAAAATGAAATAAAAATTCAATATTTTATTCATTTAACGAAACAAGTTACTTTGTGAAAATTAAGTATACTTATACTAAATTTTATGGCATTTGAACTTACCAACATATAACTTATAAAGTGTAGTCTAACGCATTATATGCAAAACAAAATTACTGTGGGAAAGTTGGTAACAGTCGTCAGAATGATAAAGGGGCTACTCTTCAAAATTTTATTTTGTCTACTTTATACAGGACTATTTGGGATAATCCTAATTTATTTATACCTGAGAGGTTTCTAACTGAAAATGGGGAACTGAATAAAAGCCTTGTTGAAAAAGTTTTGATATTTGGAATGGGAATCCGCAAATGTCTCGGAGAAGATGTTGCACGAAATGAGGTGTTCATCTTCATCACCACGGTCCTGCAACAGCTCAGGCTGAAAAAGCTCCCCGGAGCAGCCCTGGATCTGACACCCACGTATGGGCTCGCCATGAAGCCAAAGCCCTACCGACTCCTGTCAGAGTCCCGCGCCCTGGGGAGTGGGCGTCCTTAGACTCTCACTTAGTCTCCGCGGGGTTGGAGGGTTTCTTAGCTGAGTCAGAAAATGTATGCGATTTGAATTTATTTCAGAGAGCATTTAAAGAGTATATCCTTCAGCTGTGCTATTAGTTCAGTTCTTCCTCTATCTCAGTACAAAAGTGCTTTTTAGGTTTCTGGGGCAGCCTCAGTTCTAGTCTCACAAGGCTCTTTCAGGAGGATAATGAAATGCGATGCAATTCAGGGATTTTATAACTGTCTGAGGTAGTGGTGACCCCATGTCAGATGACTTTGAAAAGAAGGGACAGACGAGTGTCAAATTGAGCAGAGAGACAAGGACCTTTGTCCTTCCCTTTTTAACAGTCTCAAATAGGTATCGTTTTACACAGAGGGTTCAGAATAAGAATAATGTTCTAATGACAAATGTTTCTTTACATGGATATGGGAAATAGGTGCTCAAGAGGTAACTCAGGGAGCTAGAGTTGCCTAGGATAGCAGAAGTATACTTTGTGGTGGTAATAAATGAGAGGCAGAGAAAAGAGAGGAAGGCATATTTCTTCAAAATGCTTATACAAATACAGTAGCATTCTGAGATGCTGGGGTTAGGATATCAACATACATTTTGGTGGAGACATAATTCAGTTCATATAAACATATTATAAGATAGCAATAAAAATATTCATATACTTTTCTACATAGGATCCAGTACTGGGTATATACTTCTTTCATGGAATTTGTTAATGAGTTAAGACATATAAAGAACATAAAATGAACAGTGGGACACCATGAATTTCAGAGTGAAGCTTTAAAGCGTGTTGTGTTACAAAAGACATAGAATTCAAGCAGGGTGATTAAAAGCCTTCTGGCGTCTAACCCGAATGAGAGGTTCTATTCTGACTTTAGTGCAAATAAGAGCACTGAGAGGTGTGACTCTAGATAATAACCAGCTCGATCTGGGATATGACAATGGAAATAGAGAAGTTAAATAATTCAGAGATGTTGAAAATATAAATCATTAAATATAGCCTTTCGTCCCAATATAAATAAATACGAAATTATTTTGGAAATAAACAAATTAGATTACATCACACTTTTTGAAAAGGATTTGGAAATTATATTATCCCCATGACAGTGTCAAACTGAAGGCATTCTACATTCCTGTCTCACCCACCCACCGCACCCCATTAACAAACTACCAAATCCTCTTTGTCCATGACAATAATGGAACAGCTAGAACAAAAATCTTGGTGTCTGTTTTATCTGGTACTTTCTTTAAAGAATAGTGTCTTTCCAAGTTATTATTTTTTTAACAGTAGTCAGATATTATTCAATAATTTTTAACACATTGTATTATAAAATGCTAAGTTTTATTTTTACTGTATCCTTAAGGCTTACTTAGATCGTGTACTACTGGGCTTTTTTTTAGTAATTCATAAACTTACATTTTATGTATTCTTTAGAAACTCTGGTAGAAGGATAATAGGAAATAGGAAACATAAAAGCAAAATAGGAATAGTTGGGTTATTAAAATGTAACAAGTTATTTTTCATTGTATGTATCTGCTGATCAGAAAGTAAAATTTATTTTATGAAATATAGTGAGAAGCTACAAAATATGATAAAATATTATGTCAAACATTAATATTATATGAACCTAAATGCTTTCAATGATCATCTGGAAATGATATGCTAAACTTGTGACGACTATGGAGCTGTGTTGAGAATATGTGATCCATGCATCAGGGTTAAACCAGGCTGAGTGAAGTACCTAAAGTCATTGCATATGAAGGGAAAAAGAGTGACAGGAACTAGCTCTCTTGCTACACACCATGCTTAGAGCTGCGGTTTTTTTTGTGCCCTCTTGGGGCTCTTAGTGACCCCATGAGTGGAGGTGAAGCTCAGTCTGGAAACATTATCTGCTCCATGAAGCGAAGGACACAGAACATGCCTGGATCCCAGGGTTTTTCAAAAAGAAAAAAAATTGGACCAAAATTGATAATGGCTTTGCTATCTTCCACATTGCAATTTCTACTTTGCTTCCAGTTAAACCTATCATTCATGGGTGATATGAATCCACATGACTGGATGAGAAATCAGAACTATTTTGAAAGGCAGAAGCAGTCTTTGGGGATTTTGCTATCTCCATAACTATTATTGAGTCTGCAAAATCTATAGATGTTTCTAGGCTCTCAAATGTATGCACACATTAATTTTTAATATTCACATAGCATCTCCCCATAAAAACTTTACATTCAAACTTAAACAAAAACAATGTACTATATATATATA